TGCATGAAAATTTTTGAATCTTTAATCCGGTAAAAGAACATATATGAAATACCTGATCGTGAAAAGTATACAACCCTTTCCAAGGATGAACATTTGCACGTATAAATAAATAAAATATCCAAAAACTTTTACCTCTAATTACTATTATAAACTCACCAACAAATTTCATAACACAACATTAAAAATGGTTGCAAATTTAGTGTCAATACTTAAATTATTGCCATGCCGTTTACTTCCACTGAAATGTATACCAAATTCCACAAACATATAATTCACAAAATAACTATCATTTATTAAAATATAATTAAATTAAAAAACATTACTTAAAATATAAATAAGCACATACATTAAATTAATAAAAATTAGCTTACAATCCTAATTACTTAAACTAAATCATTGCTAATAACAGTTTTCCAATAATACCATATTACTTATTTACTCTTACATTTAGAACAATGCATAAAAATAATATCCTCAAATAATTAAAAATACTAACTTATCTAATCTTCTTCAGAATCGTGATTATGTGGCGGATAAACTATTCTTATAGATTAAATAATCCAGTAGTCAACTGGCATTCTATTCACCCACTAATAAAAAATTAATAAAATTTCCCCCATACTCAAACAACTTTCAGCAAACCATGTACCCTTCCCTACACTCCGTTTCACAAAATGTCCATTTAACCAGATTTCTTGCACTGCCATTCAAACTTATCTGTAATATCCTTCCTTTCACACAATCTCATTTCATTCCCACATGTTGGACATTCATACTTATCCGCAATTAATCCTACACTCATACACCATTCAACCAATTCTTTTGAATTATCAGATAAATGCATTAAAAATTTTGAATTCACTTTAGATAGCGCCATGCGAATCCAAAAATTAATCAACACTCTTTCACACAACACACAATGAAGCTTAATACTGAAATAGCTATAGTACTGCAGATGTTTTTCCAAAAAGGCGTTAATCCAGACCTCGTTTCGGGCTTAAAGAACTCCGTAATTTATTTGTCCATTAATGTAAATCATGTAATATGGCATGCATGAAATCTCTCAAAATTTCCCCTCACACAAATATGAAACCGTAATTTATGAAATAAAGAACAATTATGATCTAAAGGGTATCAAAATTTACAAAAAAAAAAGTGTAATATTTATTTGTTTACTTTATTAAACATTTCTTTCAATGTAAGTTGTTTAAGTTGCTTCGTTTTATGTGATAATACTTTCTCTTTAATTCTATAAACAGACATAATTTCTTGTTCAGTTACAAAGTTCCGCTGTACAAGTCCTGTAATTGCTATGCCGAGAATACCGACTAAGTTGTCAATCGAAATTTTTTCGTTTTCACTAACCTCTCTGTCACCTTCTTCATGTCTTTATCCATTTTTTGCAGCAATTGCACTTTTTGTTTGATGGACATCGAAACATACTTTCATTTTGTAGATCCTTTGTGAGCTCCAGCATCAGAAATTCTATTTGACATAATCGAAAGTTCAAGTTTACTTTTATAAAATTGCTCTTACAGTCTGCAAAAAATAATAAGCCGGATCCAATTCGAAGATTAAGGAAGAACGCAATCTGAAACATTAACTGAAATAGATAATTAAATAATTTTAGCTTATACCGTCCGTTATACATTAAACGCGCATGCGTAAATGTATTATGCGCATGCATAAAAGTACGCATGCGCAGAAAGTTTGTAGCTTTGAGGTCCGGATTAATGACTTTTGACTGTATTTTTGGAAATACTTGATGTATTCAAAGGTTAAATGCTATGACAGGTTTCACTATATTTTAAAATGTTGACAGCTATCTTAATTTCATGTTGTGTCTTTGATCAAAACAGCAGCGAGCCTCCAGTTACGGAGGATTATGTATGTATTATCTCATAGTAATATTACTTCAGAAACAAAGACCACTAATATGATAAATCTTACAAAAATAATATATGCAGTAAATCCTGTATATGTATGTGGCCATCAATAATTCCTAACAATTTTGGTTAGTTTTAGAGATTAGTAATAATACTGATGTTTATTTGCGTTTATTGGTCCTTGTGATCATTAACATTTACAATAAGCATTTACTGTAATAGACTGTAAATTTTTGGATATTCTGCCTGTAGTGATGATAGGCAGTTAGTCACGGTAATTTTCACTTCACCATCAATGGATTCATTTCTCCGTGCCATTTATTCAAATCTGTGTGGGAATTTGGATCTCAAATGCCTGCACCAAATTATCAGTGCTTATAGATGGCTGACCAGAGAACCATTTGTCATGAGCACTTTCTTAGCCTACTTCGAACAGTTTTGCCCGTATCCGTACTTTATTCTTACTCATTGCATTGTACCTTACATCTTATATATCTGGTGATGAATATCTGTAGTTTTCATGATTTTTGCTGTTAAAAATGGGATGTCTGACTGTATTTCATGCGACACTCGATTTTTGTTGTACATTTTAATCTCCTATTAAATTGAAGCCATAAATACAAATGGGGTCACATTGTGTGCAAAGAATGGCAGGAGCTTGTGCATACATCCATTCTCATGCATTTGCAAAATTTCAAACCATATTCACAGATGGATCTTAATTAAAAAATTGTCTTTGTATTAAGAGCAGTGAATGCATTAAAACTGTTTTCTCATGCATTAACTTATAATGTTTTCATTTTTACCTGGAATAGAAGGATTTTTTTGGATATTAGATAATTAGTTTAAATCTAGTAAGGTGATGTGTAGAAATTATAAAATTCAAAATATGTAATAGTGATTATGAAGTAATGAAGCATTTATGACCTTAAAGAAATCAAAATCTATTTTTAAAAAAAACTTGCTATTTATTTGTTTGCATTATTAAAAATTTCTTTTAAGGTAAGTTGCTTAATGTGCTTTATTTTTTCTGCTAATATTTTCTCTTTAAATCACAGATGGTGTAATTTGTTGTTCAAAGTTCGGCTATTCGTGTAATTGATGCCTAAAAAATTTCTACTGAATTGTCAGCCAAAATTTTTCTGTTCGCAACAAACTCTTTGTGTTAGTGATATTTCCTGAATTTAAAACCATACTACAGATTTTGCCATCCGTTAGTTCATTAATAATCTGGGCATCATCATAGCAATGAAAAACTTCATTTATTGTTTTATCATCTTCATTTAATATCACATCTCCACATTTCTGTAGACATTCATTAACCTAAAAAAATAACTTTTTGTTTGCGATATCTGAACATATGCGAATTCACGACTATCATCCTAAAGCTTAGCTAACATCCACTTTACACTGTTAGCCTTGTCTCATGAAATTGGCGAATAAAGATATGTTCCACTAAATTTTGTCTTGCTTCTATCGCATGATCAAAAAGTTAAGCTTGAATTATATTATTAAGTATACTTATGCCTATTTTCCCGCACATGCTTAAGTCTTATCCGAGTTTCCAAAAAAATGAATTCCCACATATACTTAATCTTATCTAGGGCCAGTGCTAAATATTTAGTGTTTAGTACAATCTCTGTGGGTTGAAAATTCTGCTGCCTGGTGACTCCCTAAATTGTAAAAATTTTGCCATCCCTAATGTTGTTGCTCAGAGCTTAACTAAATTTTTAAAATTTTGCCAGCTTTTGCAGCCACACCAACTTTGGCACTAATCTTGGGCTTATCTGAATAACAAATTGATTATTGTCAATTCAAACAGCACTAAATGTTCGTAGGTAAAATATTCTTTTGCCTATGAATATAACATACAAAATCTAATTTTTGCATATGGAAAGAATTTCTGTTCAACTTCTCCTCTTCAGCACACTTATCACTTTGCAGTGGAGTTAGCTGCAGTCTGTAATCATTGCCAAGCATAATGTCAACATTAAAGATCATCACAATGAAAATCTTCTGTTATATTTTGATAACAGAAGCTTAGCCATCATAAAGCTTAGCTAGCGTTCGCTGTACACTAATAGTGATGTATCATGAAACTGGTAACTGAAGACATTTTTTTCCATTAAATTTTAAAGGCTTATGCAGGGCCAGCACTTGACATTTTGCTTCCCACTGCAGTCTCGTGGGTCAAAAATTCTGCTGTCAAGCAGCTTCTTAAATTCTAAAAATTTTGCATCTTAGTACCATTCCTTAATTTAGTTCCTCGGTGCTTCTTTAAATTTTTAAAACTTTGCATCCCTTAAAATCTTTCACTTGATGCGACCATACCAGCTTATTGAATAACAAGTCAGTTATCCTCAATTCATATACACTAAATGTGATATTTTGGCCTATTTACAAAACCTATTTCTTGTATACTGAAAGCAGTTTCTGTTAAATTTGTCCTCGTCAACACTCTTAATACTTCAACGAATTTAGCTGAAGTCTGTAATCATTGCTTAGCATAATGCCAACACAAAAGGTTACTATGTAGTCAATTATTAATATTTAAAAAAATTGTTTAGATATCGCTGCATGAGTCATTTCTCAAGCTGAAGTGTGCTGATAGCCATGTAGTAATGCAAGCAAAAAATAATAAATAATGATTTTCCAGGTTCGCATCAGTGCCGAACTCAAATTAAGAAAAGGAAATCTCATTTTTTTATTATGAAAAAATACCAAATTTGCAAGGGTAAAGCATTAAAAAAAGAAAGAAAGAAATGTTGGTGGTGATTGAGAGGTCCGGATCTCAGATCATTTCAGAAGTTGGACACTCAGATTTTTTTCTTCGTGCTATACTAATATTTTAAAAAAAGTGTTTAGCCATCACCAGTGCTGTAATGAAATTAAAAAAAGGGAATGTTTTATTATGAAAAATTATCAAACTCCAAATGTAAAGCATAAAAAATTTCTAAAAAAAAGAAGGGTTGGGTTGTTAGTGTTTCAGACGTCCAGATTTTGTCTGGATTTCAGATTATGTACTGTATCATTGCCATCATGAGTATTTAATTTTATTGATATCTTTATACTGTTGTATTAAATTGCCTTTATAAATGAATTTTTCTTATATAGGTTTCGTATGCGCTTGCTCGGTTGCTGTTTGATGATGTAATTTTGCAGCTGGGACTTTTTACATTTGGCTGTAGCCCAGGTGGTGGTGCTAGCAATATGTGGACTGTTTTATTGAATGGCAATTTGAATCTTAGTTTAACTATGACTTTCATTAGTAATCTTGCTGCTTTAGGTAAGTCTAAAAAAATTGCAAAATACTTATAGTTTCAGTAATTTGTTAGCCTTCATTTAGTAGAGACATGAGCATGTTAACTTATGTTAAAGCGTGTTATGTTAAAGCATGTTAAGTCTGTACTTAATTCTTTAAATGCAAGAAGGAAAAACAGGACTTAATTTCTAAAATTAGATGTGCAGGAGCCTTATGGAAGTCCATGAAGAAAAGTAAACAAAATAAAATAAATAAAATAATAAATAATAAAAAGTGAAATTGAATGAAATGTAAAAAATTAATAAATTAAACACAAATAATCAAATAAATTGAAATACCAGAGTTCCTATTTGAGGCTCTAATAGGAATTACAATTTTACCCAAAGACAGAATTGCCAGAGCTGACTTCCAGCTGACTTTGATTCTTGGAAAATACAAATATAATGCTTCATTGCTTGACCACCAGTAAACCATTATATTCATATTTTCCAAGAATCAAAGTTGGATGGAATTCATATTTTTGCATTCATTACTCATATTTGAACTGGTATATTTTTGCAACATTATATTTGTATTAATGAAGTATATTTGTACTGCACAAAGCCCAATTTTACCAGCTCAGATGGAATTTGGGCCTTTCAATGCAATACGTTAAATGTGTTCTTGATAGTGAATTCCCTATAAAGGGAATGTTGAATATGTAGAAAGAAAACTGTGACCCTTTGCCACAGTGTTTCAGTTTTTAGTAGAGAGGAAGAAGCTAAAACTGTCTCATGAAAGATTGGCATATTTTGTCTGATGGGAGAGTGGTGCAACTGGCATCATGTGACTGTGGATTTCTGGGGAAAAACAGTAATAAGTTATTTTATTGAAAGGATGGCGAAAAATGTATGGAGACACTGGTAGCCATTAAAATTGCAACACCAGGAAGGAATGATCTGCCGAAGCCAAAATCACATGAAAGGAAGAAAAGGTTTGAATATGCAAATGATTAGTATTTCAGCCTATTCTAGATGATGCAGGAGGTAGAAACAACATCTAAAGCACTGCATAAAAGAAAAGTTGTAGTGGATGTCTCATTCAGAAGCACTCTGTAAGGCCGGTATTTGCTCAGAATATCGTGTTATCTCTCGAATAATATGAAGAAGTGCTTACCAGCAAGTATTGGAATGTGATAGAGGCAGAACCGTTTCTTATCGAGAGTGTGGATAATGGTTCCATGATATTGCCCGTTGCGTTGGTCAACATCCAACCACTGTCATGCGAATACGGAATCAGTGGGTTGCTGAGGATCTTATTGAATGGCATGCAGAATCACAATCCCTTCCTATGACTAATGCTAATGCCCAAGAGGACAGACATATTGTGAGGTCAGCCCTGCAAAACTATAGAACCACATCACAGATCATTAGTCAGGAAATGGGCATGTTTGCAGCATGCCTAGTGTCCTCTCGTATGCTGCGGTGACATTTGCAGCCACGTGGACTGTCAAAAAACGACGACCATTACTTCGGCTTCCCTTGACAATGCAACGTAGAGAGAGACAGCAGCTCTGGTGGTGTCAGACGACAAAGCTGGATACAGGAGTGGCGCAATGTTATCTTTTCAAACAATTTCCGGTTCTTCATGCAGTATTCTGATGGCCATATATGTGTATGCAGGCTCCGAGGAGACCACACACGTCGCCTGCTTGCATTTGATATTGGCTTAGGGGTCCCTGAACCTGGTGTAATGATGTGGGCAGTCATTGGGTGCACGACATGCATTCTCTAGCTCAGATCAACGGTAATTTGAACGCTGCTTGGTACGTTTCTGATATCTTACGTCCAGTGGTTGTGACATCTTCGAGGCATGCCAAATGCCATCTTCCAACAAGATAATACAAGACCACATGTTGCATGTCGTGTTCTGACCTTCCTCGATACACAGGGTATTTGGTTGCTGCCCTGCCCTGCATATACTCCAAATCTGTTACCCATTGAAAACATCTGGTCATGGCTTGCTGACAGACTGGCCTGCCACCCCTCTCCTGCTAATATGGTTGATGAAGTATGGTGTAGACTTGAAACCGCATGGAATGAGTTTTCAATTTCTGTCATCCAAGCCTAGTTCAACTCCATGCCTAACCAGGTAAGGACCATTTTAGATGCCAAGGGTGGCAGCTGTTTCTACTGATTTCACACCTCTGTAAACCCCCAAATTGCTTACAAATTTAATCGTTTTATCTTCATGCCATACTGTTTATCTGCAATAAATATCTTTTTTGTATTTACTTTTCCTTCATGGTGTTGCAATTTTAATGGCCAGCTGTGTAAATTTACTTTTTATAAATATATTAGTACAGTTAAACTTCCATACATGAACACTCTTGATTCTGAACATATTTCATCTTGTGGGTCATTGACTGCATTAGAGAACATGTCCATGAGTGATATTCAGTACCAGTTGCTGATTTACATTCTCATAAATACTCGCCTTTTTTTAGAGATGGTCATCTATTTACAGAAGGAAGACACTACCCAAATTTTCATATTAAAGTGCTCAAAATAAAATTTAACTTAGATTTTGATGCACTTTTTACAAATTTTGGTACAAATTTGAAAAGTGTCTTGACAACATTTATTTTACAGCATGAGTAAATTTGGCTGAAAATATGATAATTAATTTAATATCAAAATGCTTGGAATATGGGGTACTTTTCTAAATATGCTGTACCATTTCAAAAACATACCAAAATGTGGAAGTTATTTATCTCTTGAATTAAGAGGATGGTCTTGTATTCAAATAAACAAAGTATTAATACAGTCAAAAGTCTTTAATCCGGACTCGTCGGGACTTCGGCGATTCCGGATTATAGATCATCAGTTTAAATCTGTTATGATGGCATGCAGAAATTATAAAACTAAAAATATGAAACCGTAATTTATAAAATAATGAGCGATTATGACCTAAAGGGTATCCAAATTTACCAAAAAAGAAGCCTAATATTTATTTGTGTACTTTATTAAACATTTCTTTTAACGCGCGGATGCGTAAAGCATACCTTACTCATAGCCGAAATTAGAAAATTGCAACCAGAAAACTATGTGATTTGTATTCGTGATATTTATAATGACGAGGAATTTGATTTAAATCATATCAAAGACGGAGTACATCGAAATTAAATACTACATTTAGTAAGGAATTATAAGCCGACTAAAATAAAAACATCTGCTCTGAAGATAACGATAGTGTTGACAGATCAACTTCCAGTTCATTGCGCGCCGCGACGTGCCCCCCCCCCCCCCCCCCCCCCGCCGCGCAGAGCAGCGTGAAATTGATAAACAGATTTCGGAACGGTTACATAAACAAAGGATATGCTTTTATCCATTTTTTTGTAGCAATTCGTTTTTTGTTTGATGGACATCGAAACATACTTTCGTTTTCTAGATCCTTTGGGAGCTCCAGCATCGGAAATTCTATTTGACATAATCGAAAGTTCAAGCTTACTTTTAGAAAATTGCTCTTACAGTCTGCAAAAAATAATAAGCCGGATCCAATTTGAAGATTAAGGAACAACGCAATTATCAACATTAACTGAAATAGATAATTAGATAATTTTAGCTTATACCGTCCGTCATACATTAAACGCGCACGCGAAAACGTATTCTGCACTTGCGCAGATGCATATGCGCAGTTGTAAATGTCTTGCGCGCACGAGTAAAACGCCTATGCGCATGCGTCAATGCGGCGCATGCGCAGAAAGATTTTAGCTTTGAGGTTCGGATTATAGATCATTCCGGATTACGGGTGTCCGAATTAACGACTTTTGACTGTAATAAATTTTGTTGGAAATATTTTATCTAGCCTATTCTTTTAATTTTTAAAGCCATGCATATGCACAGACTGTTCAAAAGTATGTGTAATGACCTTAAATCTTCAAATATTAATTTTAGATGCACATTTCCAGTAATAAAGTTCAGAATTTTATGAAAATAGTACAGTACAAATCCGGACTCATCGGGACTTCGGTGATTCCGGATTAGGGATTTTTTCTGGATTATACGAGTAGATCAACAATTTAAATCTGGTAAGATGGCATGCAGAAATTAAATAAAAAAATATGAAACCATATTTATGAAATAAAGAGCAATTATTATCTAAAGGGTATCAAAATTTAAAAAAAAAAAAAAAAAAAAAAAAAGCTTAATATTTATTTGTTTACTTTATTAAACATTTCTTTCAATGCAAGTTGTTTAAGTTGCTTCGTTTTTTGTGCTAATATTTTCTCTTTAATTCTATCTTCTGTGGATCTTATCTTTACAGCTGGCATTAACTACAAAGAGTTCTAACCAGTATCCTTAAAATTATAACCATTTAAACATTTGCTTGGTTTTAAAAAAAATTAAAAATGTACTTCTAGTACATCGTCGCACGAGGCGAAAGTTCAAAATGCGAATTCATGAGTATGTAAAATAAGAATGAAACATATTCTTCGTCTTGTGCTACGCTGGCGTGGAGGCAGTCAGAGGAGAAGTCACGTGATCTTGAGAAGGCACCTGGTTGATCGAAATCAGTAAAGTTCTTAATTTAATGATAAAAGCACTTAATATGTAATAAATTTATATATATTCCTTTAAAGCATCTCTCTTCTATAAACAGGCTGTCTCTATAAACAGTATCTCTTCTCTTTACGCGCATGCGTAAACATATTATGCAAATGCGGAAACGTATAATGCGCACATAAAGTTTGCAGCTTTGAGGTCCAGATTATAGATTTTGGATTAAAGACTTTGTACTGTAGTAGGTATGTGGGTAGGAAGGGTTCTGTAAAATAAATATAGTTTTTATATGGACCCTATGGAGTAAAAACTCCCTTTGTAAAATATTATTTTGCTGTCATTAGTTGAAAAAATAAAATGTTGCATACTTTTATGTGAAAAACTTGTTAAGCTAACTATTAAAAAAAAGAAAAAAAAATTTCATTAAATTTAATTGCAAATGCATATTGTCCATGAAAAATCTATGTTTCATGGACAATATGCATTTGCCATGCTCATGCGAATTCATGAGTATGTAAAATAAGAATGAAAGATGTTCTTCGTCTTGTGCTATGCTGGCATGGAGGCAGTCAGAGGAGAAGTCATGTGATCTTGAGAAGGCACCTGGTTGATCGAAATCAGTAAAGTTCTTAATTTAATGATAAAAGCACTTAATATGTAATAAATTTATATATTGTTGCATGCGTACGGGTTCGTTATGAAATGAATGCACAAGTCCCATGAAAAATGAACAAAAATTTATTATTATCACAACAAAAATGCTTAAATTTTCTCAAATTATGCAGTATTGTAATATATCACAGTAGTTATCTTTTAACTACTCAAATGTCCAATAGAACATAATTCAAAACAGCTAAAGAAAGCTAATCCACGAATTTGCTACAATCAACAAGGGCAGTTTTCTAAGCAACTACTACGAACGGAGATGTTTTCCTCCTTTTATAAGATTTTAAAATCACGCGCTAGAATTTTCTGGTACTTTCTCGAAATGAAAAAGACATATTTATTTACTTAATGCACACGCTCTTGTATTTTCAATTTTCCGGCTTAGCTTTCTTTTAATATTCGTTACGCACTGCACTGCGCGAGAAATAAAACCATTTAATTTATAATTGAACTAACATTAGCTTTTTAAATACCAAATTCGTAACACTGCCCCCTTCCCAAGGACTGCACGTCCCGGGCAGTACAATCCCTGGACAGGAAGCTAAACTTACAGCTGTGACATAAATGCATTAATAAGCATTACATTACAATAATAAACAACATGAACATAAAATGCAATAAATAAACAAATCAAATGCTATCAAATACAAATCAAATACTAAATGTAAATCAAATCAAATACGCATTTAAAAACAAAAAGGACCATGGTCTTATACTATTTACAATTATTTACATTACGTTCTATGGCCATAGTAATGAGCTAACCTGTCGTAATGAACGACTTTAGGTTTAGAGTTTGAAGACTTACGAATCCGAACCACGACGTCATTCAGCCTGTTTAGGACTGTGTACGGGCCATCCCAAGGTGACTGCCATCGATGAAATATTGCAGGGACAGTATTTCCCTTGTTGCTGTCGGGCGCTCCGAAAAGGCGTGATGTGACAGCCTTTCAACATCCGGGGTGAGCTCCTGAAGTGTTTCGGTGAGTTTCTGTTGACGGGATTTTAATTGGAGCCTGCTGTAGTCTTTTAAACATTTCTTGCCGAAGCGCAGCTCCAAAGCGCCGGATAGAGCTTCGAAATCTAGCCTTTGATTTTCGGGAAGCGTCTGCAGGATATCCGCTGCGTCTGCTCTCAGAGAAGTGGCGAGATGACAGGCCTTAGCTTGGGAGTCCCATCCATTCGCATCCGAAACTATAGAAAATTGTGTTTTATACACTTGCCAGGATGTCTTCCCGTCATATGTGGATATCTTCAGAGATGGACGAGCAGCCATTGGTAAGAATTTAAAACCCTCAGAATTGCTTCCTTCTGTCGCTGTGTTCTTCTTTAAAGTGTCAACTTCTTTGGCAACAGCAGCAGAAACCCTTTCCTCAATTTGTTGCTCTACCGCAGAAACTCTTTCTTGAATTTCTCCAACTTTGTCTTCAACTGTATCCATTCTTCCTTCCATAGCTTCGAACTTGTTTTCTATTATGCAAGTAATTTCTCTCTTCAATTCTTCTTGACCTACTTTCATTTCCTCTTTAATAGATTTCATCTCTCTTCTAATGGATTCTTCTTTTTTTTTTTTTTTTTTTTTTTGGACTAGCTTCCATCTTTTCTTTCATTTCTTCTTGTCCCGTTTTCATTTCTTCCTTAACGGATTCCTGGCCCAATTTCATCTGTTCCTGTGCCGTTTTCATTTCTTCCTTAAGGGATTCCTGGCCCAATTTCATTTGTTCCTGTGCCGTTTTCATTTCTTCCTTAAGAGATTCCTGGCACAGTTTCATTTCTTCTTTAACGGATCTTTGCCCAGCATCCATTTTCTCTTTAATTTCTTCTTTAAAAGATGTTTGGCCAGCTTCCATCTTTTCTTGGAATGCAGTGAAAGCAGTAATGAGCTGTCTCAATTGTTCTTCCATCCCTCTTGTTATTGGCATTCAAATCCCACTTCTGACACCAAAAATTGTTGCGTGTGTACGGGTTCGTTATGAAATGAATGCTCAAGTCCGATGAAAAATGAACAAAAATTTATTATTATCACAACAAACATGCTTAAATTTTCTCAAATTATCATGCAGTATTACAATATATCACAGTAGTTATTTTTTAACTACTCAAATGTCCAATAGAACGTAATTCAAAACAGCTAAAGAAAGCTAATCCGCGAATTCGCTACAATCAACAAGAGCAGTTTTCTAAACAACAAACTAAGCAACTACTACGAACTGAGATGTTTTTTCCTCCTTTTATAAGATTTTAAAATAACGCGCTAGAATTTTCTGGTACTTTCTCGAAATCAAAAAGACATATTTATTTATTTAATGCACGCGCTCTTGTATTTTCAATTTTCCGGCTTAGCTTTCTTTTAATATTCGTCATGCGCTGCACTGCGCGAGAAATGAAACCATTTAATTTATAATTGAACTAACATTAGCTTTTTAAATACCAAATTCGTAACAATATATTCCTTTAAAGCATCTCTCTTCTATAAACAGGCTGTCTCTATAAATAGTATCTCTTCTCTTTACATACATGCGTAAACGTATTATGCACATGTGGAAACGTATAACGCGTTTATGCATGCGCATAAAGTTTGTAGCTTTGAGGTCTGGATTATAGATCATTCCGGATTAAAGACTTTGTACTGTAGTAGGTATGTGGGTAGGAAGGGTTCTGTAAAATAAATATAGTTTTTATATGGTCCCTATGGAGTAAAAACTCCCTTTGTAAAATATCATTTTGCTGTCATTAGTTGAAAAAATAAAATGTTGCATACTTTTATGTGCAAAACTTGTTAAGCTAACTGTTAAAAAAAAAAAAAAAAAAAAAAAAAAAAAAAAAAACATTTGCATTAAATTTAATGGCAAATGCATATTGTCCATGAAAAATCTATGAATTTTCAAAACAAGCAGCTGCTTTTTTTGTTGCTGCTGGCTAAATTTTTTTCAAATGTTTTTCATTAAGCTGGTAAATAAGCATATAAAAGAATTAAATTTTGTCATTAAATTTTGAATGGTCTTGAGACTATCTTTGTGAATTTTGCATATATAGGTATGGCAATTTTGTTTTTTATAAATATTTCAATTATTGGAATTTTTACTATATAGCTGTTATATGCATTTACTTTTCCTCTTTCCTAGAAAATTTCACTCCTCGTGTTAACACTTATGTAAACTTCTCACCTTTATTTTAACAAACTTTGTAATGTGAAGTATGCATATCTGTGAATAATTTTTAAGGAAAGTCGTCTTAAAAAGTAGATCAGAGTTCTTAACTTTAAAAATCTTAAAATGTGGAAACTACAACTATTTTATTGTCACTACAATAAAAAAGTTGTAGAAATATGTATTCCCACAATTATATACCTCATTCTCTACTTTTTAAAATAATTTGTATTCAGCTCTTCAGTCAGCATATATAATTACAGATACTACTTAAATCTCCGGTTCTATTTAACAGCTGTTGCATACTAAGTAAATATCACAATTAATTTGTAATATATATATATATATATATATATATTTTTAGGTATGATGCCTCTCTGGCTTTTTACTCTTGGCCGAAGTCTTTTCTCAGGAATTGCCACAGAAGTGCCTTTCATGAATATTCTGCTTACTCTCGTTTCAATGTTAGTTCCTTTAGGTGTTGGATTGGCATTTCAAAAATGGTTGCCAAGAGTAGCCAAGTTCTGTCGTCACATCTTAGCTCCTGTGTCGATAGCAATGATTCTTTTCATAATCATATTTGGCACATATGCCAACCTCTATATGTTTAAACTTTTTACGTGGACAATACTCATTGCAGCTGCTGCAAATGTGTGGTTAGGATTTCTTTTTGGAACTCTCATCTCCAAAACATGTGACCTCCGTCTTGAAGATATTGTGGCAGTTGCTGTGGAAACTGGTGTCCAGAATACTGGGATTGCAATTGTCTTATTGGGATTTTCCCTTGAGCAGCCTGAAGCTGATCTGGCAGCTGTGATACCTGTTGCAGCCTCCATCATGACACCTCTTCCACTTCTCTGCGCCTATTTATTTTTGAAAGTGCGGAGTCGATATTTCCCACAGGTCCAAGAATCTCGACTTTATGTCATGGATGATGAAGAGGAAAAGAAAGTTCTACCTACTCCTGACAGTTCAGATTCTGTATCAAAGGTTTTGTGATAAAAAAATATGGGAGAAATATTACTGCTTATAGAATATAGGGAAATTATTTTTTTGCCTTATATATTTTTAATTTAAAATCTGGGCTTAAAGATTAGTATCATATTATATTAAATAAGCTTTATATTAGGTCATAAAGTATAGGAGTAATTATGTATCTCTGAAATTCTATAATCTGTAGAATATGTTAGAAGTAATATTAGATTATAGTTTTTTAATATTGAGTTTATTTACCATTGTGTACTGTTCTTAAAACAGATATGTTTTGTCTGAATCTCAGTTATTTTTAGAATACTTTTTAAGTTTTAAAAATATAAATATCTCTGTGGATGTAAAAAAGGATAATTATTTTGATATTTTATTAAAAAAAAATGTGATTTTTGTAGAAGAATTTAGTATACTTATTCAGTCTCGAATATGTGATCTGCAGTTTTTCGAGGAAAAATAACTGAAAGAAATTTAATTGTTAAATTGTGTAATGAAGGTATTGTATTAAGGTTTACATATTTAATCAGTAAAAATGTTCTAAAATGAATTAGAAATTTTATGCGAAGCTTCGTGCTGCTCATTTGAAGAAGTAACAGAAAATATGCATTTATGTCCTGTTTAAAATAAAATGTTTCCCTTCAGGTATTACAAACTAAATGATGTATATTAAAAATTGTTCTGCAGAGTGGAAAATATGAATTGTTATAAGAATATTTAACTTAATGAAAGTTAATTCATTGTTTATTGTTAAAAATATTTTAAATGGTATGAAGACAGGTTATTTTGAGATTTAAGTGTCATGTTAGTATGCTTTTATAAAAATGTTTATTTGTTTACTCTTGAGTTAAGAGTATTTTTTAAAAAATCTGTTTGAAAAATACTTTTTGAGCTTTCTAGATGTGTCAAGTATTTTGAATTTTTAATGAATGTATAAGTATACATGTGTGAGTAGTTTCACCAGTTCATTTTTGAAAAGTCACTATCATTATTGTTGTAATGTAAGTAAAAGCATAGATATAAATTAACAATGGTTTGAAAAATTTTCACCATGTAAATTATCCTATTAGTTTCAAAAAATTTAACCTAGAAATCAGTTTTCTTCCAGAATTAACCTATTGACAGTACCTTTGCTCTACAATTTTTTTTTTTTACAGTAATAGCCTTGTATGCTTAGCTATAAATTTGAAAAAAAGGTTTTTGTAAAAATTTTCCATGTAATGTCTTCTACCCTAGTGGTCTCAAACTGGCAAGCCATATGTGACCCCTGAAGCAATTTTATGTGGCCTGCCACTTCATTGATGTGTTTGTTGTTAATATCATATTTATAGATTTAGGTATCAAATAAATTCATTGTTTAGTGTATTACAATATAGTATTTATTAGGAGAATAGAAAGGTACCAACAGGCATTACATTGCAATTAAGTTAAAAGCTAGCATTTGCACACAATCAAAAGTGCAAATGTAATGCATAGAAAAGCATTCTGACAAGAACATTAAAAAAAAACTGAAAAAAAGAACAATCATTTCATCTCCCGAAATGAAATTTTAAATTGTAAGTATAAACAATATTAGAGGCACTGAGATATAGAATGAAAAATAAATATAGAATGAGACTGTCATTTTGCTTATTCCCAAATTTTGTCCCAATTGGAAAATTTTCTCTGAAATTTTGGGAAGTTTTCATAATTTATTTATTTTTAGTTTATGTTGAACGTAAATTATTTAGTGGTTAGTTAAACATATTAGAATAGATTTATATTATTATGTTAGTCTCTGGAAAATTTGGAAAATTTTCATAATTTGTTTGTTTTAAGTTTATGTTGAAAGTAAGTTTTTAGTGGTCAGTTGAACATATTAGAATTATTTGAAAGAAATGTAAAAATTTAATATTTAGCTGCTAATATGTTTGAAATAGTGAGACCAGCAAAAATTTCTTACAGGTATTTTCTTGCAGATAAAAGATAAATACCATAAATTTGAATTTTTTTCCTGTGCATTATTATTATAGTTATTTATGCATATTTTTATGTATAGTTAGTAAATAATATTTGAAATTAAGTTAAAATTTAGTTAATTATTTGAAATTTAGTTTTGTTTTATTAAAAAAAAAATTATGGCCATCAGCTGCTTTCAGGTCATGCATTTGGTCTGCATACGGTTTGGCTTTGAGACCACTTTTCTACCCTATGGGCATTTATATCATGTATAAAATTGTCTTTAAAAGTGATTGTTATATTATGATTCGATATTTGAATTATTATTATTAATTTATGCATGTTTGTTTAATTAGAGAAAGAAGAATCATAAAAGTACAAAGTATTATTTTATATTTATCCCTTAAATTATGTTTTACACACTTTGTTGTGCTACAGTAGCAATAGCACAGAAACATAGATGACTTTTGGATATGTCTCAGGTTCATACAGTGAAATATTATACAATATTTTATTGCATTTTAGATGAACTCTAAACCATAATCTGAACTACAGGTGCTGGTTAAAGGTGTTTTCCCATCACAGCAGACAGTGTGTCTGGTACTCTCGAATACAATATTAGTACCAGAAAAATAGCATACTTAAATTGATATTTTGACACCATTTGCTGCATTATACTAGTATCTTGGGTTGCCACCCATGTAGCAGACCCCTTAATCCTAAAGCAAGTTTCTATCTCTGAACCCATTTCCAAAATCAGGTACACTTGTGTTTAAAGGTTGCATAATTTTAAAATATCATGAAAAATAATTATGTGAGATATTATGAATTTTTGTTTTTTGTGTTTTCTGTTATTAGAATTTTTTGTTCATCATAGCCTCCTTTAGAATAAACTACATATCTGCACTGTAATACATATAGCAGCCTTGTATCAGTAGTGGGCCATGATTTTTGCCAAAAGGAACTCATTTGAAGAAAAGGTATTTTTTAGTACCAAGATCAGCTAGAACAATAATGCATTACATGTTCTAATAAAGTTAGCAAACCAAGCAGAGGAGAATATCAAAAGTGATTATGCCATAAAGTAATAAGAAACAGATAATTTCTATAATATAATGGATGTCATAAACGAAAAAAAAGTTCATAAATTATATGGCTTAAGAAAAGAACACAGCCAGTAAACTATTCAGTTTTTCAGTCTGCATACTAATTCCATGCTAATCATTTTGGATTTATATAATATTCCATTTTGAATTGACAGGTGTAATGTTTCATTTTTACAGAGGGTGTTCAAACGTTTTTGTAACGATTTTGCAAAGATTTATATGTAAATAAACCTTAGAATTTTATTTTCTTATATGCTCGGTCTGATAGCTCTTTTGTTGAAATATCATATTACGTTTTGATTTCCAAGATAAAAGTCCTTTTGTTAAAACATCAAGGTAGATCTTATTCCGCTCCTCCTTCATAATCTACCAGAGTCCATCCAATGTTTTGGGATGCCGCTTATAAAGAGCTTGTTTTAAAAGTCCAAATGCACAGTAATCCACAGGAGACACATTAGGGTACTTGAGTGGAATGCATTTAAAAGGAACAGCTTCAATTCCGGTTTCATTTCTCTTTTCTTTTTTTCCAAAAAATAGAGCAGTAGTAGGCTTGGAGTCTTATCCTGATGGAACTTAACACAGTGAAGATTGTTTAGTGAAGGGATGGAATTTCTTCTTTAAAAATAGGTATTAAAACATATTTCTGATAGTAATCCGAATTAATTTTTTTTTTTTTTTTTTTTTTTACTTTCCTTATTTTAAGTTATCCGTTGTAAGAGAATCCAGTAATAACCATTGTTCCGTACTTGTAACTTTATCGTTTGGCTGTCAGAGCACTTTCCGATCGCTTCTTTATTACTGTGCATTTACTATGTTAATCTGTTAGATCTGGCAACAAGAAATAATGTAAAGTTTAATCTCTGATAATTGGCAACTCGGATATTATTACGCAAAATGTATTTACTGGAATGACCGTTTCTGTTCTTGCTAAGAATAAATAATTAAATGATATCATTAATTACGCATCTTATTTCTTACTACGCAAAACGACGCACGCTACGTACGCACAACCATAAAAACTTTCAAACCAACATATTAAGTCTTTTCTCCTCTTTTTCAATAGTAAATCGGTCTTTTTCTATTGCAATCAGATAAGTATATCCAAGCCACATCAATTGTAACAATATATTTCCATTGTTCACCTGCCAAATAATTTTCATGCAGCAATCTGCACATAGTCTTACATTGCGAACATTTTTTTGTTTTGATTAGCTCTAAATCAGATTTTATAATTTTTTTCACAGTTTCTACAGAGATATATAAAGATTTTGCAATAGCTCTCTGAGGAGGGAGGCTGGATTTTCTTTAAAATATGAGATACGACCAGGGGCGTAGCTAGAGTTTCCAGCGCCCGGGGACAACTGAAGAATTTGCGCCCCTTTCTGTGTGCCAAGAATGGAAAACATTTCATTAAAAAATTTCGTAGCATCAATTTGGCGCCCCTTGGATGCTGCGCCCGGGCCCCACCCTAGCTACGCCACTGGATGCGACTTTAGATTTAATAAGAGCTGTACTTACCTTTGTTGGGTATGCATTTTTTGCCTTTTTCCCAGTCAGATGTAAATTTTGACGTTTCTTTCCTTCCATATTAATTATGTCACTTATTTTAGGTATAGTAGGAGTGTTAAAACCATGCTTTTCACATCTTTTTTTAATAATTGAATAAGAGTATTTCTCATTGGACAGCGCAAAAATGTAGCATTCGATCCACTGTTTACTTTTCAGCGACATTTTAAAGAAAATAATATTTTTAATGCTGCAGACGATATTAAACCTTGTTCTAATTTTATACCAGTCACGTTTATATTTTAAAATTAATATTTAAATTCATGGAGAGAATCAAAATCGTTACAAAAATGTGCAAATATTTCTGTATTGTGTCTGTATTCTAAAATGTGCCTCTGTATTTCTTATTGCTTCTAAAAGCACAAAATCTTGAAGAATCTAGTAGACATGCAGTTGAAACCACACTATTGTCATACTGATTCTTGATTGATGACTTGGTCTAAAACGGCTCCATAGCTTACTGTGCATGCTTTGTGTGGTCTGTCACAATGATCAGTCGAAGGACTTGTTTGTTTGATCAAGGTCTTTTTTTGTAATTAATATAAAATCAGAATTATGTCATGAATTATTTTACTTCTTTCTTACTAACCTTTCATAAGAATGCTTTCATGAACATGAATTCAATTTAACACCGCTAGTTAAGAACTTATTTTTGACAGCTATGGCAATAGCAAGTCTGCCTTTGTGTTGAACCAAACCTACCCAAATTGGTCTAATTTGCTTGCAAGTACAGATATGTTTGAATTGCACATGTTGTCAAAAGAGATAAAATGGCATTCTTTTCGATATTTTTAGTATTATATAAACATTTACAGCAAAATATTAGGGGACCAGCATAGCCCCTTCGGTTATGTTGACTGCATGCTGCTGCAGTATATAATATATATAAATAAATTTGTATAAAGCATTTGGGTGTTATAAAGTTGAATTTTCTTGCTAAACATGATTAGGATATAACAAAAAATTATGTTTAGGTGAATGGGACACTTATCCACAGCCTTGCTTTGCATCAATTGCCTTTCAGCATCTATGAAATGAGCAGTATGAAAAAACTAATTTTAAGTCTTTGGGTTTGAAACCAAATAAGGCTGTCAAATGTTTAAATGTGACAAAGCAGTAAAATGTGATAAAAAATGAATTTTCAGATATTAAAATGACATTTATTTATTTATTTTTTTCCCTCGTTTGCTGAAAATTTAAGAATTTGTATGTACAGAAAGAAAACGTTAAAGGAATAAGGTATCGTAAATTATAAAATTGTAAATATATGCGATTTAAAAGAAAATTAAATTATTTATATCCATTTTTAAGTGCTAAATCGCGGGAAAAAAAACCCCTTTTACGTATAGTATTTTTTTACACTTGAATATTGTCTTTTTTGTTATTTTAGCTTTATTTAACTGTAAAATGCTTTTACATTAAATTAGTTTCAGCATCATTTTATCTGCTATTCTTGTTTATGCACAATATGTAAATGTTCATAAAATGCACAAGTTGTATTTAAAGTATACATTTCTGTCAGTACGCAGTTAATGGTCTATTTTTTGATTTAACACCATTGCATCGGTGTTTCAGTATTTGTATAATAATTTTACGCATTTATCGTATTTTGTTGGCTAATACAAGCAAAGAGCTCAAAAATTTCATATTGTAAATCTTAGTAATGTGCCATTTCCTTCTAATTTTTCCAGTCTTGTTTTTTGCACAAATTAGTGTCATCGAATTTCGATTTAAAAGCATTTCTTGTAAATTCGTTTTTAGTTTTTACTGCCCCACCGGGATATTTAATATTGTACGTTTTTGTTTGTTTGTTTTCTTTAATAAAATATGAACTTTTTTATACATAATATGCTTTCTTGTCTTTTTTTCTGCATATTATTATAGTTTATGTATAACATAGATTTCTAATTTATAAAGTCATTATTATCATATTCAGGTTGCAGAGTTCTTAAACACCGAAACAGCTCTTGAACTTAACTAGATTTCTGAAAGATGTGTTAATTTGCAGTAAAGTTACTATGCTCTGTCACATGAAACCGACTGCAGGGCCCCGAGAGGCGAATTATGGAAGTTGACGATCTTATCGCGAAACCTATGCGAAACACATGGAGGTAAGAAAGGACTACTTCCTACCTCCATGGAGAGACAGCGGGGGGGGAGTGCTAGTACTACGTAAGCATGTGGAAAAGTCACCGACTGAGTACGAAATTGCGCCCTGAAATAATTTGAATTGAAAGCTTTGAAATGTAGACTCTTCTCAATCCGAATCACCAGCATAAAACATCACTGATCCTAAGAGTGATATAAGGGAAATGCAAATTTATTAATGAAACTAACGTGTCAATATGATGAAATGTGAATATGTGAAACTGAAATTCTTATGAGTAAGCAAATACTTTTCTTTAGATTTTTCTATGAATTTTCGTCGATGAGGCAGAAACCCAATGAATCGTAAATTTTTACTTTATCAATAAAAATTGCTTTCCTTGACATGTCGTCTGTTTGGGTTACAACTTGGCTGCTCTTACCAATGAGTTACCCCTTTTAAGAAATAAAATGAAAGAAAAGCATTCTTATCTTACGTCAGCGGGTAATAAAACGGGATTTGGACGTCTTCCATTTTGTCAACGTACTGTTTCATGCAGGGCGATGGAAGATAAACCGGCTGTTGGCCTTCTCATAGCCATGTGCAACAAACACTCTCAGCTCCTTAAT